TTTGAATGCAGATCAATCATTTTTGCTCTGAACAGATTAATTTTCAGGCCTCAAAATATCGACATGCCAATAATGTACGTATCCTAGCCCTTTTGCGAACTGACTGTAACCGACTGATGGTGTCATGCTCTGATGCCTCCTTTGCAAACTTTTAATTAAACTCTTCTTAAAACCGTGACATGGAAGACAAGTCGTAAAAAACGCTGAGCATAAACAGTGCAGTAAATGATGATTACGGCTCCAACTACGCTCAAAGCCTAATCTTCTGTTGTTACAACAACAGGAATTTCATATGGTAAAAAACATAGGAGAGTGTTTTTCTCTTGATCTGAATTCGAAATTTTGAAACAAGAATATTATGGCTAGAAATGTTGGCACTTTTAATTTGGAAATCTTGGTTTGCGCACAATATCGAGACCAAAAAATGTTGAAAAATAGAGTAAATGTAGCAAAAGATGAATGTAAAATACATTGGACATTCAATAGAGAAAATTTTTCGAAGTACCTTTTTAATTACTCTTCGAAAGATGTGTAATTCCACGCACTGAATGAGATTAAGTGCTCCGAAGCCATGCACGCGCCGCAGCAGCTAGATTTTCCAATACTACGAGGAAGATACTGTAACAGTATCTTCGTCGCAGAATTGCAAAACTGTGTTCTAGTCCTGTCTTTTTCCTTCTTGTAAAACGTGCCATATTAGCGGATAAAAAAATCCCATTGCAGAATGGATAGGCCTGTAATTAACGGCTTTTTTAAATCTGCTTATATTTTCACATTTCTTGATTCGTTCTTATTCAATAGACGTGCATTGACATTGTCTTATTTCCTCATTTGCAAGGTCTGGCGAACTAGATCCCATCAGAACTAGTCATCATTGCAATAATTTAACATCTTGTTCAACAACAGCATTTCACTTTGATCTTCACGTTTGATTTTGTTTGATGTAGAAGGAGTTTATGGGAATTTGAGAATAAAGTATCTCAACAAAGAAGTTGTTTCCAGTATGTTGGATGGAGACAAATTGCTGGTGCTGTTGGCGTCGCATGGGATAAAATCAAACAGGACGGTATCTTACCTGGATACGATACTTTAAAGTAAGTTGGGCACCTCCGTAAGTGTTTATGCGTCCCTAAGTGTTTATACTTCCTCTTACCTTGCCTCCGCATTTTCATTTCGTTTTTCTGGGCATCGCAATCATTGATAAATTAATGTAACACTTCTTATTTTAGGAGGTGTAAAAATCTTGTAAAAATTCTTTTCACCTCTATTCTAGAAAGCTAATGCGATT